TTAACCAATTATAAACAATCCCATTTAAATAAAAACAAAGGTTTATAAACAAGATGGGAATTAGGACATCGCTCATTCCAAACTGCTTCGTGCTAGAAGGGGGAGCTGTTCATACCATGGGGATCATGACAAAACTCAGAAACCTGTATAAGTCCTTATTTTCAGGGTCTGTGAAGCTCCATCATCTTAGCTGTCTCTATTGTTGGAACACCTGGCCCACTGCTTCCGGGGGTCTTGGTTCATCAAACCACAAAAGCCTGGAAGGAATCCTCAGCTTTCCATTTTCTGTAGAATCAGAAATAAAAACTCCTTTCCCAAGTAACATATCCTTATACTTAAATTTTGAAGTCAAGGCATTTTCAAAAGCTATAAGTTGAATTAATTCAGCAGCATTTATAATCAAGTGTACTTTAGCAGTTGTTCCTTCCTGAGCAATCAAAAAACTGAAAAACACAATAGCATACAGTATCCAGACTCTCTGTGTATTTTCCATCTTTACGTGGCTTATTTGTTTATCGATTATTACTTTATTTCTTTTACTTTTATTTATTTTTCTCTCAGACAGGGTTTCTCTTTGGAAATCTGCCTGCCTCTGCAACAAATCCTACAGGCGTGTGCCACCACAGCCGGATTCTCTACTTACTTACCACTATGTCATTTTTTTTCTCTCTCAATCTTTTGTATATTTTAAAATATACTGTAAACATTTAGAAGTTTTTCTTCATCCAAATCTGACTTTACTGTAAATCTTTACGTTTTTCTGGCCACATGTCTTATCTGTAAAACCGCAGCTGTTTTAAACTGCCGTTTTTCCAAGATGGCAGGCATAAGCGTGATTTCAGCTTACTGTCTCAGTCTGACATCCAGCCAAAGTTGCTGGCTTGGAGATGTGGTCTCTGCCACTTCCAGCTGTACATATACACCTTTGAAATGTTAGAAGAGCCTCTTAAAAGAACTTTGTTGTTTTTTTTTTTTTATTCTGAGTCAGGGAGTCAGGATGACTACCTTAAGCAAGCCGCGTGACTCTGCTTGTCGCTAGCAAAACAGAGCCCATCTGAGAAAAATGCTGCTACCAAGAACCCATGTTTTTCTCCGTTCTTTTGTTTCTAAAATTCCTTTAAAGCTTTTGTCATTCTATGTGGAAATTCATGATCCCACTTCTGATCACCATTATGTAAAGGGAATCCTTCCCGCAAGCCTGGTTCCAGAGCCACATCAGTCCCAAATAAACACACAGGAGGCTATATTAATTATGAAGCTGTTGGTCTTGCTTGTTTCTTACTGGCTAGCTCTGACTTAAGTAATTACCCCATAATTGTTAATCTAAATATTTCTCTTATCGGAGAACTTTCCGGGCTTCCTACCCCATGGCGTTACATCTTGACTTCCTGTCTTTCTCCTACCCAGAGTCCTCCTGGACTCCTAGTCCCACCTATCTTGATTCCCTATTGCCAGCAGTGCTTTATTGACATATGCACAGGACTTCCCCAACACCCTTGCAATTGCAATTACAGATGGGAAAGAACTTTTGAAGAGTTTCTATAGACTCAGTTGAAATGGACTGTAAAAGTGTAAACATCATGAAGACTGAATTCAAATGTCAATTGATTAATTTATGTGTAAAATATGTAAAAATAATAATACTATGTTGAAATACAGGCAATACCAACTGTGTATGTCAAAGAATTTCATTACCCCTAAGGAACAGCAACAGCATATGAAGACAGATGTTTAGAATAAAAGGGGTTATTGTACATTAGACATTTATGTCTAATAGAAGGTTTAAATCTACCCTTAATATGTGTGCTGTTATATACACATGAATGGAAGAAATGTAGTTACACTGTTGTTTATTATTATTTTTTGTTTTCTGAAATTAGCTCCTATCTGACATGCATATGCCTAAGAAGCATTCACTATTGTATAGTTTTTAAAAAGGAAAAACAAGTAAAAAAATCAACTATCTTCAGATTACAGCATCTAACAAATCTGCCATTAAAAAGTATGAAGTGAATATGTTGGGTTTGATATTGACTGTTTCTCCAATCATTGTTTTTTAAAAACCATAGCTCTACAAAAGTAGACCTTGCTTCTTAGAGGAAAAGCCAACCACAGTAGCAGTTGGGAAAATGGTTGCTCAAAGAAGTAGAAAATTCAAGTTCTATTTCTCTTTTTCTACCAAGAACCCCTATCTCTTGTGTAAATTACCTCTGGCAATATATGATGGAAACCTGAGCAAATCCTCAGGGAGTAGGGGGCAGGGAATTTTGCTTTTTAACAAATGATGCAAGCTGAATTGACTTATCATGCAAATTAGTTATGATTATATTTACTGCTCCCGTTGGCACCTGAGCTCCATTCTTTCTGAAGAAGAGAGGCACTGAAGATCTTTGGCAGAGGAAATGAAGCATCAGGATTCCTAGAAGGTTTATGCCAGCCTGAGAATGAGGTCTCTGGGGAAATCTATGGGACTTGCACCAAGATGCCTTCCAAGGCATGAAAAACAACTACCGTTTACCACATTACAGAAGTATTTAAATAATCTCAAAGTTAGTTTCTATTCTTGAAGAAAAGAGTACAGGAGGAAGTTGGAAACAAGAACTAAATGCACCAAACACTGTACTCAGCCGTACCTTCTGGTCAACACACAAGGATGCAAAAGGCACTAGCATGTAGCTAAACTGGTGGCCAGTGGGTTTCTAGGAGGCCTTGTGATCTACTCTTGTTCATACTCAGTCCTCCAGAGTGATAGAGTGGAGCCATCATCTGATTGAATACAATGAGGTTCAACTTACACAAGTATTCTAAAAGCAGGAATGAATTATACTTCTAGCTAGAAAGGTCACTATAAAAGTTATTCATCTCAATTAAAGCAAGTCACTAGTCAAAACTGACTTAGGAATAAAATGTTCAGGTCTCTTTTTTCCATGGTGGCCATGCTTTGGATTTCTAACATTAGACCAGAACTTACTCCGCTTGAAATTTAAAATTTGAGGGCTGAAGACTTGGTTCAACAGTTAAGAACACTTGCTGTCCTTGCAAAGGATCTGAGTTCAGTTGCTAGCACCCTTATGATGGCTCACAACCTTCTGTAACCCCAGATCTAGGGGATCCATTGCTTTCTCCTAGCCTCTGTGGGCACCAGGCATACATATATACATGTGGACAAACACTCAAACACATAAAATAAAAATAAATCTTAAAACAACACAAAAGAGTAAATTCAATATCTAAAGCATCTATGTTCTTCAGTGAAGAAAAAAGGTGTGCTTTAACATTTCCTGCTTTGAATGTGTAGAGGTTTACTCAAACCCAAAAGTATATTTTATATATTTCTCTCTTACTTTTTTATTAAATTAATTAAGAACCTGTCATCTCCCAAGCAGAGTGAGTATATCTTTACATATATCCTTTCACTTCATTCTCATCTGCACACACAAATAAGAAATCATATCATCCCATCATCTATAATTTATGGCTGTGAAAGCTGAGTCTCAAAAAGTCAAAAGATTTCTTTTGCCGCAACTGGCATGAGAATAGTGTTATCCAGATTTTCTCTCATAGTGTAGTTCATACTCTTTCCACCAGACCTATATAAACCATATTGTTACATATTGTGAAAGTCAGCTAACCAGTGTTCCTTTGCCATAATTAATTGCTTAATATGTTTGAATGCTTAAAGTTTCCACTAATGTTAGTAGGTCAAAAGTTAATTATGTGGAATTAAACTGATTTTATTTTACTTTGATCAGCAAAACAGCCAAAAAACTTCAATTCTTTAGTCCAGTGGATACTATCTGATACTACTGATTTTAACAAGAGAGAGAAAAAAAATATTGTCTTTGCAAAATCATAGGGTGGTAATATTTTTCTTGAAATGCATATTATGTCAGAAATCTAACAAGCTAAATTGTTTGGATGAAGGTGAGGATGTGTGTTTACCTTTCCTTTTCCTAGAGTATACTTCACGTTTGTTGTCATTGTGTATAGTTTTTGCATCAGGCTTAAAGCCTTCTTCTTTAGACCTAAAGGGGAACTGTAGGCATCTGGTCTGTGGACCTGAAACAGCCGCCACACACCTTTGGGTGTGACTTCAGGCTGACAAGAAGAAAGAGAAGAGCTTGAGGCATGTCTTTCCTTGGAATGCTTTTTCTGTTGGGTCAGTGGGTCGGGTAGAAGAGCACAGAATTACTGGGTTTTTTTTTGTATTTTTCTGTGTAATTGTTCCCCAATAAACACCCATTTATCGTTTATCATGGGTCTAGTGATATAATTACATCCTTGGCTACATTTGGGCATTGTTTGTTTTGTCAATTTGAGATATGCAGTGTTAAATCTATTCAGTGCTTAAACATGACGTCCACAAGTTATCCAATAAGAGGTTTTGGCTATTGTATTTAATAATAAAAGCAGTGAGAACAGTTTTTCAAATTTGCATCCTCCCTTCCCAATTGGGCAACAAGGGGTCTTGATTCTTGCTAATAAGGAATTTAGGAATGGCTATGAATCTAGTTAAGACTCTGTCTGCTGCTTCATATTAGCAGCAGAAAATAAAAATAAAAATTCCAGAAAATGCAAAGTAGGGGGAGACACCTGCATGAGACTTGTTACATTGTTACATGCTGGTGACTTTGCACAGTGCTCTGTCCATTATTTTGTTTGGACTCATACAGTCAGTATTATTTTGCCTCAGTGCTGAGCGAGTTGAACATGAGGAAATCCATAGCCACTTCAAGCTGCACAGGAGGGAGAGAGCAGAAGTATCTTTTCTGTGCAAGTCTCTGTCCTCAGAGTTAGCTTTTTCCCATTGAGGATGAAAGCATGGATGACTGTCAGCCTGCTTTGTTATACACCCAGGCCTGTCTGCCTCAGGGTTTCCCCACCCACAGTGAGCTGAGACATTTCACATCAGTCATTAATCAAGAAAAATGCCCAACAGAAATTCCCACAAGTCAGTCTGATGGAGACAAGGTAATAACTCAGTTGTGTTCTCTTCTCAGGTTACTCTAGTTGGTGTCAAATTGACAAAATCTAACCAGCACACTTTTCCACCCTCCATCCATCCCCCCAGGTATGTGTGATTTAAAAACCTTTTAAATACCTTCTTTGTGAGAATTCTAAGTTAACATGAATTAACTTGTTAAATACTGTTAAACATTTTAATATTTGCCAATATTGCAAATAATGAATCCCCCTTTAAATGTCGTTCTCTGTATTCTACTTAGACGAAACACTTGCCTTTTATGGCACATAGGAAATAGTCATCTAGAACTCAAAGCTTATTGTGGGTAGCATTTTCTCTGCTCAGCCAAAACCACTAAAGAAAGTTATCCTGACCATCTATTGGGTCAGAAGGATTTGGTATAGTGCAGCCAGGAAATAGGTAGAGCCCAAATTAAAGTCATAAAATATACTAGATTTTATAAAAGTCTGGAATAAGACTAGGAATTGATCTGAATTGGTGATTGCTTGATGAGAAGGGAGAAGCTATCACTACCAGTTCTATTTTGTGTCCTGATTTAAACAGGGTTATTATTACTTGGAAAAGGGGAAGATGATTGGTAGGATGGGATACAAGTTCACTCTAACAATGTTAGTTGAGAGATATTTGGGACTCATACAGGTCAGTCATTTCAGTAGAAGTTGAAAGAGTTTTAAAACATCAGAACACACACACACACACACACACACACACACACACACGATAATACCTAAATGTTAGAGTGAGACTCCTATAATGTGGAAGTGAATGTGGATGACTTAATAATTAATTGGTAATGATCCAATTACTTCACTCAATTAAGATGCTGAAAAGACACACTATGTTTTTCTTCCAAAACACGTGTTTTTCAAGTGGGTATATCTATTCATCCATACATATATTCATCTGCAGATTAAATATTTTATTTATGATGGATTACAAGCATCTGTAATGCTAAAACTGCTGCAAAAACTAGGGAAACAGGCAATATTTAAGAAAGCTGGCTGCTGAAGATGTTTATACATTTCAATTATGGTCTCATGCCAACAAAGATTGCATTAAGCTTATAAATATATTAATCAAGAAAAGAGGTGTTGGGTAATGACTCATTCATAACTCAGTCTTGTAATCCATTTGAGACATCCTGACAATATTGCAGGAAATAGAAATGTGTTTCCTGATAAGCATTTTCTTGACTCATTTACTGTATTCCTCATTCCTGCTTAACTATACAGTGTTATTTTACACTTACACATGTATATCAAGTTGAGTGATCAGTGACACCCAGTTTTAAATGGGCAGTTTGTGAAATATCAATGTGCTTTCAGGCTAATCCAGCCTTTAGTTGACCACACCTGCCCAAAAGGACGTTCCTGGCTTGCGTCTTCAAAGTGATAATCTACAACATTCAGTAGAAGCTTTACTTTTACACAAAGTACTCTCTAATTATCAAACCTGCACTTTCGACTATGGGATTGGCCAATTTCACAAGGTGTTGTAGCCTTCTGTCTCCTCATGTATTCTCCTACAGAAAATAAGAAAACAAGAAAGTGGAAAGAAATTGTTCACATCAATTAATGAGAGATTTAAATGCAAATCTTCACACTCTGCTTTCCGTAAATGCTGTGATAACAGCAGTATCTAATATATACTAGAAAGATTAGTAATTTTGAAAAAAATTGTACTGAACCATGATCTACACTGATAGTAATACTGTGGAAGGTAAGTGCTAGATTGATAACAAAACATGATGAATACCAATTTCCCAAACTTAAAAACTGATCTTTATTCCAAAAAAGACAATATGCCCAGTGCTACTTTTTTCAGAAACAAACAAATAATAAAGCTTCATAATTTTAATTTAATGTAGTGATTACTCTTTTTTTTGGTTTTACAAGACAGGGTTTCTCTGTATTGTTTTGGAGGCTGTTGGTCCAGCCTGGCCTCGAACTCACAGAGATCTGCCTGCCTCTGCCTCCCGAGTGCTGGGATTAAAGGCGTGTGCCACCACCACCCAGCATAGTGATTACTTTTTTATCATCTTCTGAAACACCCATTTTACTTTGCCTCAGAAGAAATCATAGGAGGAAGGTATTAGCCATCAGACCATTTATTCAACATCCACTAAACAAACTAACCAGTTATGGGGAGTGGGAAGATAATCAGTACCCTGAGACCAGAGAAATACACACCAACTGCTTCCTTTTCCCCCATGAATATACTCCACTGCAATTCATGGGCTTTGCTGCATGAAATTAAATGTATTAGACCTATATTAGTTAGATATGTATTACATTTCCTAAAATAACTGAATAGTATGCTTGAGCCTTGATACTAATAAAAACTTACCTCAATATTTACTGTTGTCAATAGCTAACAGTCATTAACATTGATTTGCTTTTCTTCAAATGCATGTTTAAAATGAATTCTTACAGATAAGTTAGGTAAGTGGAATTGACAACAAACTTAGCCAAAGGAAAGAGGATATGTGAAAACATTTACATGGAAATGCCTTAAATGAGGCAGACACGCGTTAGGAAATGTTCTAGGAAATCAAGATTTCTTATCTCCAGGTAGACTAGCTATAGTTTTGCTCAATGCTTTTCATACATTTTTGACATTCGAAATGAAAGCTATTTTTACAAAACCACATTCCAGAAAAAAAAACAAAAGGAACATTTAAAATGATGTCAGATGTGCTGAACACAGCCTTGTTTCTCCGGAAGACTTCTGTCAAGTGAGCAAGGTTGTGTGTGATGGAAACAGTGATATCCAGACTAAGAAGATATAGCACGGTGGCAGAAGAGGAGAGTGATGAAAAACAGGAATACACACATATTGCAAACCAACTCTCGTCTGTAACATTTTTCTTAGGATAACAAGTTTCTGTTTACCTGTTGTATTTGGTCATAACTAAAATAGTCTTGTTTATTATCTTCTTTGAGAACAAAGTGAATGTGTCTATAGTTGAAATAATATTCAGGAATGTATTATCTAGATTGTCATTTTAACTTAAAACTCATCTGGAAAGCAAATGATAACAATGCTTAGCTCCTTGATCATGGCAATGCTTTCAAATAATTTACTTAATTAAGCTTAATTAATCTTTACAACACCTCTGTGAGGTGGCAAATTAGTTACAAGTGCTCCTCCATATTGACTTAATTATCAAATATATATTTATATGTGTATTTAGAGAGAGAATAAAAGATGTGGAGAGGTAAAGAGGGAGAAAGACAGAGAGTTTGAAAAAATTATAATATTTCACTTCCTAAATTTGTTTGTGACTTCAAATAACATCACCTTGCACCACAAAGAAATACCAACAGTGAGGACAATTTAAAGTCATAATTTCTAGTCCTTTAGGAGACTATCGTGCGTGCTCCAGCTTTGGTTTCCCTGTTTGTGTGTGGAGAATACCTGAAGACAGGGAGTGCATTGGTAAGAATTGTAGTATAGGGCCTAAGAGGCCTGAGATTCTGAGATTTCATCATTACCTACCTTTGTGGCCTTACAACTTACTTTTTCTCAGCTACGAAGCAGTGCCAGTGTTACCGGCCTTACTTCTGTAACAGGGATGTTGGAGGGTTAAACCGTGAGAGTGTATGTGAAAAGGCCTTAGTTCCTTAAAGCATGTTTTCAAATATAAATTATTTGAAAATGGTGTTTCTTTGAACATAAATATAGAGGGATTACATTTTGATGTATTAACTTATCATTCTAAATGTATTGATAATCTCCTGAGAGTAGACACAGAGGTTGCAGATGGCCATGTGTACAATGAGTGGGGTGTAAAGGGGATGGGTGATAGACTTGATGCAGACATTAATAATGAGTTTGTTGTGACTGAGATACCCTAGAAGCCATTTCTAGACTTGTACACCAAACGCAAGAAGCATGGGATGAAACTTCCTTCTGCACAAAGGTGATGCACTGACAGATCTTGAGGGATTTTCAAAAACTCAGGTGTTTTCTCTACCCCAGACTCAATGAACTGTTTGCTTTTTTGTTGTTTGTTCTTTGTTTTGTTTTGTTTTTCAAGACAGCATTTCTCTATGGCTTTGGAGGCTGTGTCCTGGAACAAGCTCTTGTAGATCAGGCTGGTCTCGAAATCACAGAGGTCCGTCTGCCTCTGCCTCCCAAGTGCTGGGATGAAAGGTGTGTGCCACCAACGCCCGGTTGATTTACAGGTTTTAATTAAAGGTTTAATGTGTTATGGTATGTAGACTTTGTAAGGTAGATCTACTCTGTTTGCATACTCTTCTATGGTTAACTATAATTATCGAAATTTACTGATGCAATACTGACTGCTTAAAACATAGCCCACAAATGATCACAGCTGTGACTGCTTTTGGCTGAAGTACTCTAAATTAATGGTGATAATGTAGAGCAGTGTGTACAGTTGGGAGGAAGAAGCCAGTGGGAACATGCAGGACTGTGTGTTAGGACTGACTTGATGTAACACCTTTGTTAATGGCCTGGAAGGAAGAGTGAAAAGTTCATTAATTATACTCACCAGTTTACTAAATTTGGAAGCGCCATTGACACCAGAGTAAAGAAAAATATGCAGAGAGTTAAAGGAGTCAGACAGCAGAGAGACAGTGAGTTGGAATTTTGACTATGATAGTTCAGATTTATCAACAGGGTCCTATTTAAACAAATCTTCAAACAAATAATACTGCTGTGGTGGTAATGTTAGCATAGCTAAGGTGGACTATAGTATTTCACGTACTTAATTTCAAAAAATTTTGGTATGAAGAGTATCTCTTTATTTTTTCATTGTGTGCATAACTCCTTGTGATGGACTGATGAACACCATGTGAAGGAAGGACTAAATATCACCCTAAACTGTTATTATATTTCTACTGTAATGTGTCCAAGGGGATTCAATGGTGTTAGTCATCCTGAGGAAAAGGGCAGTGCCCTGAAGTAGCTCTTGCTATGAGAAGGCACAGTCTGAAGTCAGTTAAAACAACGATTTTGCATTGGAAGGATTCATGATTCTCACCTCACATTTTAACCCAACTTGATGGCTACTCTCTGAATCATGTCATGAATTTTTGATGAAATCCTAGGTTAAAGCCCACATAATTATCCACAGACAGTCAGATATTGGCAATTTTCTGTGGCTTAACTAATCAGCTGTGTCACCATGGACCCTGCCTCCCTGAAGAAAGGCCTCTATTTTCCGGGGCCCTGGGCTTCAGGGCAGATTCCTGAAGCTATGGTAGGCAGTGAATACTACACTGATTTTGCTGAGCACTAGTAAGAGAGCTTCTTGTAAGAGTTAACAGCTGAAAGGATAGAGATGAAAAAACAATTTTTACCACTGTCCTAGAGAACTAATTTAGAGTTGAGAAAGATTTAAGGATTACTAGAAGCGTTTGTGTTTCAAAAGTGAAGATATGTGGGGTTACATATTCAATTTACAATTTGTGTTTTCATGTTTCTATTTTGTTTCAGGCCATTGTGACTCATAAAATATAGCTGTATTTATGTTATAACAGGGAAGGAAATCTGAAGTTTTCAGGAGTTCTGTGGTGTGCTTCAGTGACAACTGTTCTGCTGTCCTGCATGCTGCCTATAAGAGATATGTAGGCAACAGATACATCATCATAGGAGCAGCAACCTTGGAGATTTCAGAATCAAAATGGAAGTATGATTTCCTTTTAGGCTGGTTGAGGAAACGTGCACATATGATATGTAGTAATTGTGCCCCCAGTATCTGGGACCTTACTTTCTGAAAGCCTAGAAATATGAACACAGAGACCCAGTAAGCCTATCACTTTTGACATTCTGTTGCCTTTGTGTGGCAAAGTAAAAGAGAAATTCATGTATACTTGGATGCCAACCTTCCATTCCAAACATCAGTTTTTTTACACTACATGTGAGGAACATCAATGAACACACTTGTCTCTCCAGTTCTCAGTTGTCTTACCTATAAAATAACAGAATTATATTATATCCTGCCAGCTGAATTTTTCTCATTTAATATTCTATGCTGTAAAGTATGAATTAATTTAGTGCAATATTAGATATTCCTTACCTATTTCAATTTAGGAAGTTTTGTAACTACCATAACACAAATATTGACCCATATGATAGCAAATGACTATTACTTAATGATAATCACTGAGTCTGGGAGAATGACAAGGTAGATCTTAGCTTGGAGGGTTAGAATCAGAATTCTGGCACCCTAATGCTTCCTTGATTTTTTTTTTAATTTTAGTGTATTAGTTTTTGCCTGCCTGTATACATGTGTATTATCTTCCTGGAGGGTGACCAAAGAGGTTAGAAGAGGGTAGTGGATACCTTGCAGTGGAGTTACAAATAGTTAGGAGCTACCATCTAGACATGGAAAAGCAAACAAGAGTCCTCAGCAAAAGCAGCAAGTGATGAGTCAAAGCTGCACCTCTCAATGAAATCATGATTCCTTCTCCCTCCAACCTGGTTACATATAACGGTTGTTTTATCTCAGAGATATTCTCCTATCTTTAGATGAATAAATGATTTCAACAAGCAGAGGAAGTCAGGAAGATACAAATGTACAGTGTACCTGTACAAACAGTTTGAAGTTTTTGAATGTGAACTGATATCATGGGACTATAAGATAGGAATACTTTCTGTCTCATAACCAGGGAAGATGACCTTAATACATACCTCTTGTAGTCGATAATGAAATGGAGTATAGATGGACTTGGCCAAGAGCCTTTACTGCTGTTCTTTTAAGAAATACTGCTTACAAAGTTAAATATGTAGTGATTATGGATCACGTTTAATATTAAAAACATCTAAAAGAAGAATGCTTTATTAAAATATTTTCTATTCGCTTAAAGCATTGTGGAATTTTGGGAACCATTTTTTTATCTTTGATATGTTGTAAACTTTATTCAGACAAAGTGATCATTATTTGTTGGCTCCTTCTTTTCATAGTCACCGCCCCCTACTCCAGTCTAGTCTAGCAGGTATCTTTAACAGGTGATTTATAGCAGGTCCCAGCAGCTACTGGACACCTGGAGAGGGGAGTAAGTGTTCTGTATTGAGCAGCTAAGAACCTACCTTGATGGATTTTGTTTTAGGTAAAAAAAAAGTAAGACATTTCACTTTACAGGATTCTTAAAATATATATTGTAAGGGAAAGGAATCCATATGGTATTGATTTATTTAAATGTTTTAAAATTAGATATTGGGCAAGCCTCTTATATTTGTATTTTTCCTAGAGAGGAAGCATTCTATTTCATCGAAATAGAGGAAAAAAAAGGACTGAAACCTCGTGTCTCTGTTCAAACTTGAACTCAGAATTGACATAGTTTTAAAAACATGACCCAAGTCAGACTGTGGAGCGAAAGAATAATGGCAGCGTTTGGAGAAAGCAGGCAAGCTGACTCTCCAGCTGACTTCTCATTGCCTGAGTCAAAGCAGAGCAGAAAACAAATAAACACAGTGTTCAGCTGAGACGCCAAATGTTAGCTTGCTACATAACTCTACAGAATTTATAGCTTCCCTGATATGGGACTGAGTGTCAATTCATAGTTTCTTTTCCCTTTGTGCTACAAAACAAAAGAACTCTTTTTAAAGGGGTAATGAATTGTGTGGGCTTTAATTGCTATCCTGTCGGTAGCTGCTGCTTGCCTACAGCTCTTCTGTGTGAGCCGGAAGGAGGTTGGACTGTGTACCCTGATACTTCTTTCTTGTTTGAAAACACAGTGAAAAAGAGAAAACAGCCCCTTCCTACAAGTTTACTTTTAAAGCACTATTACTCTACACATGGGTCTGCATTTTCTCATGTATCTAGTCGTATGTGTTTTTCATTTACTTAAGAATTGGGTTCATTATCAGTGAGTGTAGACCTCATAATTTAAGATGACTTATATTTCATTATCTACTAGCCTTTCTGAACTTTCCCCATATTTTTCCACTTAAATCAAGGGCATATTATTTCGAAATAACATTTAGGTGTACTATGCACTCAAAGCATATAATGTGGCAATTAGATACATATATACATTATACAATGATCAGAATAATATTTAGTTGGTAAATATATGATTTCTATTATTGTTTGTGTAGGTGTGTGTGCCTATATGTGAACCTCTGTGGCTTTGGGTATATATATAAACATAAATGTGAATGCACATGAGTGCATGTGAATGTTCATATGTATTTGTGTGCACGAATATATACATGTGTGTACATTCTTACGTGTGTGTGTATATTCAGAACACTTAAGATTTCTTCTATCCATGAACCTTTTATGTTATGGGAATCACAGTCATATTTTCTTTTCTTTTCTAGAATGTCTTCTCCTCCTGGACAGATCTTAAACTCTTGGGCTAAAGTAATACTCCTGCCTCATGTCTCCAACACAGGTGAGGCAATACACCTGAACCCTCTTGCCAGGCTACACTTACCATGCTTCACCATGGGAAACTATTTATTATAGTATATCTATTAAAGTTGAAATATCTGCATTTGATTTCCCTATTAAGATCTGTGGCATTCCTTCTACGAATAAGCGATGCATCCACTTTTAGTACAATATTGAGATGCTCTGTTTTGAACTATGCATTTCCTTCTACAAGATATACACACTTTCATGTTGTTGGTGTTTAGCATCCTTCATTATATCACTCCTGTTAGCAAGCTGTATATAGGTCTAGTGGTGATAAAAGTACCAGGCTCTGTCTGGAATGCCATTATCTGGCTCTCATTTCTGAAGGACATCTTGAGCATCGATTATATGCTTGATTTGCAAGTCTTCCCCCCCCCCAGAACCTTGAATGAGTATTCTTCTTCCTTCTTTGCAAGATTTCTGCTGATCCATGTAGGTAGGATCTCTTTTAGGTGAGCTTTATTGTAACATAGTTTTATATAGTCTTTGGATTTATCTGTCTTGAAATTCAAAGAGCTTCATGAGTCTAAATGTCCATTTCTTTGCTAATAATTGGTAAGTTTTCGCATTATTATTTCACTTAAATCATTCTCATTATAGTTCCTGGTGTATACTTAAGGCCTCATGAGCTTTTCTTTGTCCAGTTTTGCAGTTCATCCTTTTCAGATCATATTTGGGGCACTATATTGGTGAGAATTTTTAGGTGTTTCTTCTGATATTACCAGGAAACTCAGTCTCATATCAAACTCCCTTATCTTCTGATTCTTACCATCTTTCTACAACTTTCTGCTGCAATATTCTGCAAGCCCTAGGTTTGTAAATATTTTGTAGATGTATCATTTTATTTTATATCTCTTTGAACTTTATCTATATAATTTCTTGAATTATTCACTACACAATTTGTACATTTCCATTTCTCTGGGAAAAGGTACTTGGTTCTTCCTAGTTTCTTTTGATGATAATATAAAAGGTACTTGGTTCTTCTTAGTTTCTTTTAACGGGGATATAATTGCTTGCCTAAAGATTATTTTGCACAGTTATGCAGTTATGCTATTTTTGTAGGAAAGAACACTTCTTCCAGTTATCACATACTGTTTTTTTCTCCAAAGACATTCCATCTTGTTCTGATAAACAATTGGATCACTGCAGGGTCATAGTAAAGAAAGAAGCAGGGGTGGTCATGGAGAATGGGGAGGTGGTTAGAAGCTCCTTCTGGGTTTATTGTGAGTTGGGCAGTTGTTAGTGAATGAGATGCCTGGGAAGATTAGACTCCACTTACTCAAACCCAGAGCCTTGATTAGAAGAGTTGACACAGAGACAAAGGTACCCACCTTGGGCTGTACAGTTGCATTTCCAGGTGGTGTACATGTTTCCCCATGTATGAACATACTCAGCTCCCTCCTGGTGTCTCAGACCACCTGCTGCCTTCTTGGTGTACTGGATTGTAAATTGAGTTCTTAATTGGTCTAAACAATAAAAACTCAGAATCAGATATAGAGGAAAATGCTGAGAGATCAGAGAGAAGAAGGAGAAAAGTCAAAGTCACCTTTATCTCATTAGCTTCCCAGTAGAAAAAAAGAGTGAGTTTCTCTTTTCTTCCCACTTATTTTCTCTCTCTGTCCAGCTATCTCCCTGTCTGTCTGTACAGATCTCCAGACCTCCATGGTTAGCTAGTACCAAGCTCCATACTCTGATCTTTAGGCAAACTTTATTTGTACAAACAAGACATTACCACTCTAGATGCCCCAAGGCCTAAAGCAGGAAGGTGCTACTGAGCCTTGGGACATTTGGGATCTATTGTGATACACACTTCCTGGCATCAGAGGAGACACACATGTCTCCTTGTGGGCCACTTGTGAGAAGAACTGTTATCACACTGTAGTTGAGAGGAATCAAAACAAACTTGTATGGTTACACTATTTTTCAAAGCAAGGTTGTAGGAACAGTTGCCTAAGATATGCATAGGAACTGCGTGAAATAAGTCAGCAAAGAAAAATGAAAGAATCAATTCAACTTGACCTCAAAAATTTAAGAGCAGACTTTAATGGCCTAAGTGGATGAGACCCTGAATTCCTGTAGCTTAGTATCTTAGTTTACTCTAGAATGCACAGTGCAGGTTCTGAAAGTCAGTTTTTTATTTGCTCAATTTTAAATAAAGAATGTTTGTTTATATGAATTCTATTTGTTTGGCTTCTTAGTTGTGGTGGTCCCTATTGATTTCTAGCCGATGGGAACCACCTAGGAAATCACAAAAGAACACTTCTGAGATTATCTGCAATGGTGGCTCTGGGATAATTGGATCTCATAAGGTTTCTGAAATAATGAATGAGGCAGTCTCTTAATGAGCTCATATACAATGGATTATTTGAAGCTAGTGAAAGGTAGGAGCTGGGACCTAGTTCGAGGTAACAGGACAGTGGAGAACAGAACTGGGAACTAGATTGACCTTTGTCTCTTCCTGTCTTTGTCCCACTTTATTTTCCGGGAAGTGAGAGCATGCATCAGACCATGGAACCCTGCCGTCAACGTATCATTCTGAATGAACAAGGAGCCAAGGAATCCTGCACAGCAACTGTGAGACAAGATTGAATCTTTTCTGCCATCAGGGTTTCTTTCAGGTATTTAGGTCAGATCCATGCCAAGTGACCAGTGTGTTTTGTATACTGCATATATTAACTACCTTTTCTGGTGTGTTTAGAAACCTTTACCTCATCCTCATGTTTCTGTTTACTCTGTTGCCTTTTTCTTTTGTGTTGAAAAAGCATTTTAGTTTGATTTATCCTACTTCTCAATTATGTTTTCATTTCTTATATTCATGATTCACACCCAAATACCTTTTCTGAGAATATTGTCTGGAAACTTTTTTTTGCTTGTTTTCTTCTTTCTAGCAGTTTCAAAGTTTTGAGCTTTTTGTTCTATTTTGGTTGTCTATTTATACATGGAAAATTATAGGGATATAGTTTCCCTTGTTGCCATGTGAATGCCCAAGTGTTCAAGTACTGTTCATTAAAAATGTGTTCCACGTTTGTCAGATTTTATGGGTGTAGCTTCTGACAGTAAGAGACACGATCTCACTGAAACCTCCTTAATCCTTTGGTCCTTACAATCATTCTGCTCTCTCTTCCTCAGTGATTCCTGAACTTTAGATTGTTTTTTTAAATAGATAATACATTGAAATGAGCTCTGAAATTTTGTATTTTGATTGATTGTGGTTTTCTTTGTTTGCAAAGGAAAGTTTCCTTGGTGAGGGAGATGACGAGTAAAGATTATATTTATTTGCCTAAATGTGAGCTGACCAAAATAACACTAATGGATATTTCAAAATGTATGGGGGAAAGCCTACACAAAGAGGCAACTGAAGAAAGCTGGGATCAGGAAAGATGGTCTTGCCCAATGAAGAGCACACAAATTGGTTGTCCAGTGCCAAAATACCACCCGTGAAAACATATATGCAAGTGCTACAGGCTGAAAAGGTTATATTTAGGAATATGTTTATAAAATGTATGTATACATGCAATAACAATCTGTGAAAAAAAGACAACAGATTTGAAGTTGAATATGAATGGGTATATGGGAGCATTTGGAGGGAGGAAAGGGAAGAGAGAAATGTAGTAATTATAAAATAACAAAAAAGAAGGACACAAAGGAAATAAACACACACACACACACACATGAGAGAGAGAGAGAGAGAGAGAGAGAGTGAAAGAGAGAAAGAGAGAGAGAGAGGAGAGTGTGTAAATGGAGTATCCACAAAGAACACCTGTTGAAAACTTAGTCTCCAGATGGTAGACAAAATCAAAGAGGTCATTGGAGTCTGAGGTCTCTACATTCAGTGATGGGTTAGCAAACTGATGAGTTTATAATGTGATGGTATTGTTGGTATGTGGTAGAAACTTGATGGGACCTTACTGAAGGAACTGGATCACGAAATCTTTCCAAATGTCACAAGGCGCACATCTTAAGCTCGTACTACTGTGACATTCTGTTTTGCCTTGGCACAAAGCGACAAAGCCCATGAACCACAGGTGGAATTTCTTAAAATGGGAAACCGAGCAAATGCCCCTTCTCAGTGTGTCCTCATGACACAAATGCCCCTTCTCAGTGTGTCCTCATGACACAAATGCCCCTTCTCAGTGTGTCCTCATGACACAAATGCCCCTTCTCAGTGTGTCCTCATGACACAAATGCCCCTTCTTCTCAGTGTGTCCTCATGACACAAATGCCCCTTCTTCTCAGTGTGTCCTCATGACACAAATGCCCCTTCTCAGTGTGTCCTCATGACACAAATGCCCCTTCTTCTCAGTGTGTCCTCATGACACAAATGCCCCTTCTCAGTGTGTCCTCATGACACAAATGCCCCTTCTTCTCAGTGTGTCCTCATGACACAAATGCCCCTTCTTCTCAGTGTGTCCTCATGACACAAATGCCCCTTCTTCTCAGTGTGTCCTCATGACACACATGCCCCTTCTCAGTGTGTCCTCATGACACAAATGCCCCTTCTTCTCAGTGTGTCCTCATGACACAAATGCCCCTTCTTCTCAGTGTGTCCTCATGACACACATGCCCCTTCTCAGTGTGTCCTCATGACACAAATGCCCCTTCTCAGTGTGTCCTCATGACACAAATGCCCCTTCTCAGTGTGTCCTCATGACACAAATGCCCCTTCTCAGTGTGTCCTCATGACACAAATGCCCCTTCTCAGTGTGTCCTCATGACACAAATGCCCCTTCTCAGTGTGTCCTCATGACACAAATGCCCCTTCTCAGTGTGTCCTCATGACACAAATGCCCCTTCTCAGTGTGTCCTCATGACACAAATGCCCCTTCTTCTCAGTGTGTCCTCATGACACAAATGCCCCTTCTTCTCAGTGTGTCCTCATGACACAAATGCCCCTTCTCAGTGTGTCCTCATGACACAAATGCCCCTTCTTCTCAGTGTGTCCTCATGACACAAATGCCCCTTCTCAGTGTGTCCTCATGACACAAATGCCCCTTCTTCTCAGTGTGTCCTCATGACACAAATGCCCCTTCTTCTCAGTGTGTCCTCATGACACAAATGCCCCTTCTTCTCAGTGTGTCCTCATGACACACATGCCCCTTCTCAGTGTGTCCTCATGACACAAATGCCCCTTCTTCTCAGTGTGTCCTCATGACACAAATGCCCCTTCTTCTCAGTGTGTCCTCATGACACAAATGCCCCTTCTCAGTGTGTCCTCATGACACAAATGCCCCTTCTCAGTGTGTCCTCATGACACAAATGCCCCTTCTCAGTGTGTCCTCATGACACAAATGCCCCTTCTCAGTGTGTCCTCATGACACAAATGCCCCTTCTCAGTGTGTCCTCATGACACAAATGCCCCTTCTCAGTGTGTCCTCATGACACAAATGCCCCTTCTCAGTGTGTCCTCATGACACAAATGCCCCTTCTCAGTGTGTCCTCATGACACAAATGCCCCTTCTCAGTGTGTCCTCATGACACAAATGCCCCTTCTCAGTGTGTCCTCATGACACAAATGCCCCTTCTCAGTGTGTCCTCATGACACAAATGCCCCTTCTCAGTGTGTCCTCATGACACAAATGCCCCTTCTCAGTGTGTCCTCATGACACAAATGCCCCTTCTCAGTGTGTCCTCATGACACACATGCCCCTTCTCAGTGTGTCCTCATGACACAAATGCCCCTTCTCAGTGTGTCCTCATGACACAAATGCCCCTTCTCAGTGTGTCCTCATGACACAAATGCCCCTTCTCAGTGTGTCCTCATGACACAAATGCCCCTTCTCAGTGTGTCCTCATGACACAAATGCCCCTTCTCAGTGTGTCCTCATGACACAAATGCCCCTTCTCAGTGTGTCCTCATGACACAAATGCCCCTTCTCAGTGTGTCCTCATGACACAAATGCCCCTTCTCAGTGTGTCCTCATGACACAAATGCCCCTTCTCAGTGTGTCCTCATGACACAAATGCCCCTTCTCAGTGTGTCCTCATGACACAAATGCCCCTTCTCAGTGTGTCCTCATGACACAAATGCCCCTTCTCAGTGTGTCCTCATGACACAAATGCCCCTTCTCAGTGTGTCCTCATGACACAAATGCCCCTTCTCAGTGTGTCCTCATGACACAAATGCCCCTTCTCAGTGTGTCCTCATGACACAAATGCCCCTTCTCAGTGTGTCCTCATGACACAAATGCCCCTTCTCAGTGTGTCCTCATGACACAAATGCCCCTTCTCAGTGTGTCCTCATGACACAAATGTCAATGACAAAATATCAAGACCCTGGAAGTTACTTGCTCTCTGTCCCATTCCTCTGTTCTGTATTCTGATGCCCATGCCATTCCATTCCGTTGCACCAGCTTTGTAGAACTCAGTGAAACTACTAGTGTTTCACCTCAAGCTTTTTTCCTTTGCTCCCATAGTTTGATTACTCAGGGTCTTTTGTATTTCCAGATAAATTTAAGATTTTTATTCCATTTTTAATAATATCAATCGTATTTTAATAATAATTACATTGTTTCAATAGATCATTTTGTATAGTATATAGATTTTCACAATATTCATCATCCTAACACGCATTCAGTTATAATCCTGCATATTTACAGTACAGTTCATAACTGTAGTAAAATTACAGTTACGAGGTAAGTAGCTATGAAAAAAATTTTATGGTTGGGTGGGTCACAACAACGTGGGAAACTGTATTAACGAGTTGCTGCAATTTGAAGATTGAAAACCCCTGTTCTATGACATCTTCAGTTTCATCAGTATTTTGAAATTGTCCTAGTGAAGGCTAAAAATTATATAAATAATCAACAAGTTTAGATACTTAAAAATAAATATAATTGATAATTTTAAAATCAGCTGACCAAGAAAAACATTCCAATTTAATAAAATCAGAGAGCAAACTTCAAGATGTTACACTAAAAACACAAAAATGCAAGGGTTTGTAAAAAACTATTATAAAAATATATAATCAACATTGTATGATAATAGTCAACCATGGTACACGATAATCTCCAAGACTATGTATCAGATCCACATTCCTTTTTATTGTTGAAGGATATTTCGTTCAATATATAGGCATATTTTTCCATTAAGTAGTAATTGGCAGGTTATATCTAATTTTAGTTATTATGTGGAGGTTAGTTAATAATAACTGTGTGTATATGTTTGAATCAACATGTATGTTCATTTGTCTTGAATATATACCTAGGACTCAAAGTCCTAATATGCCTTGGTTCATTTTAATTTTATTTAACTATATGATGTTTTTATGAACTTCAATATATTTGTGACCTACATGGCTTTTATTTGGCCTAGTAAAATGATAGGCAAAAACAAATCAAAAACCTAAGTTTATAGTTTAGTGAAAGACTCATTGTCCCAAAGATTCTATGTGTTATATGATAGCTGTGATTTGCCATGATATATGGAAATAAATGTGAGTAATGACACTTGGAACATGCATTAGTAACAAACATGCAGCTTCAATAAAGCCTGAGTCAGCTGAATGTCATGTAGAGTGCAAAGCACGCGCATACCCTTCTCCATAACTCCTATAGCTGTAGCACTCTGATTCCCATGCTCTTATCCTGAGGGATAAAGAGAAATAACTGGATTGCATATG